CTACCAGAGAGCCCCTTATCTGGCAAGGAGTCTCTAGTCATAGAAGGGGGCCTTCACCAGGCCAAGAGGGGAGCCCTGCGACCCCACGCCCGGAGCGAGTCGCTCTGGAAAGTCACTCTAGCTCTCCGGGCCTCCTCGGCTGCTCAGCGGGCGAGGGTCGCCCGCCGGGAGACTACTGTGAGGTCCCGACTGCCCTCCAGCCTCCCTTCCGGGCGCACCGCCCACACGCTAACCACGCGGCGGGAGGGCGGGTCGCCGGCCAGATATCCGCCAGACGTCCGGACAGCTGGACTCCGCTGGACCCGTCATCCCAATGCGCCTGCGCAGAGGCCCCCGGGCCGCAAGGCTCCGGCCGGAAGAGTACGAATCCCGGCGTGCACCGGGCACACGCCGAGCCGGAAGGTCAAGCGGCTCTCGGCCCCGCCCCGGAAGATAAGGCGGCTCTGTCCTGCCGCGTCTCCTCTTCCGGCCGCGCTCGGCAGCAGGTAGGATGTGTGTGTGGTATGGTGGCCCTGGCGCCATCCGCCGCCATCGGCCGCCATCGGCCGCCCTGGGGCCCGCTAGGGACTCCGGCGGGACTTCGGAGAGAGAGCTGGGGCGCACGGCCAGGGATGGGGGCGCGGTGGGGTCGTGACCTGGAGGGAGGATGCTGGGGAGCTTGGACCCTGAAGCCGGGGTGGCGGGGGTGCCTGGGCCGCTTGGGCGCTGACCGTGAGCCACCTCCAGACCGCCATGGGCCGTGTCATCCGTGGGCAGAGAAAGGGCGCCGGCTCGGTATTCCGCGCGCACGTGAAGCACCGCAAGGGCGCCGCGCGTCTGCGCGCCGTGGACTTCGCCGAGCGGCACGGCTACATCAAGGGCATTGTGAAGGTGCGGGGAGCCCCCCTCGCCGGGCGGGTGGGGGTTCGGGGAGCCCCACGGGCCCCCGCCGCTCATGCGCCCTCGGCCCGCAGGACATCATCCACGACCCGGGCCGCGGTGCACCCCTCGCCAAGGTCGTCTTCCGGGATCCGTACCGGTTTAAGAAGCGAACGGAGCTGTTCATCGCCGCCGAGGGCATCCACACCGGCCAGTTCGTGTACTGCGGCAAGAAGGGTGAGCTTCGTGATGGACGGTCGGGGCGGAGAGGGAACAGGTGCTTGCTTGAGGAGGCCCGTCCAGGCGGAAGTCTCACGTAGTGCGGCCGGTTTGGCTTAACGTACCGGCTGGGGCGCCCAGACCGCTGTAGGAGGCTGCCGGACGCGGAGTGCTGTGCCGGTCTTTCTGCGTAGCCGGGCTTTCCTGACCTGCAGTGCTTCTCCTTGCAGCCCAGCTCAACATAGGCAATGTGCTCCCGGTGGGCACTATGCCCGAGGGCACTATCGTGTGCTGTCTGGAAGAGAAGCCTGGTGACCGGGGCAAGTTGGCCCGAGCTTCCGGAAACTATGCCACTGTCATCTCCCACAACCCAGAGACCAAGAAGACCCGAGTGAAGCTGCCCTCAGGCTCAAAGAAGGTCATTTCTTCAGCCAACAGAGCTGTGGTCGGTGAGTGGCCAGCAGCCGTGGGATGCTCTGGGCAATGCGTTGCTGGTGAAAAATCAACAGCTGGACCCCGGCTGATATCTGTGAAGTGGGCATCACTAGTTGGGAGTTGAGTGAGTCTGGGACTGGGACTTGTTAGGCAGACTTGTCTGTAGTCAAGCATGATACGGACTTCCACGATTCATACTCCCACATCCACAGGGATTAGTAGTCAGTCTTTTCAGGGATATGTGACTTTAAGCTACCTAGTAAGTGCCTTAAGAAGGATTTAAAACCTGATTTGTTCGTTTGGTGTTACGACAGCACCTTTGAATTGTGGCAGACCCAAGGAGTGTTTGTTCTTTTTTTCTTCCTCTCTCTCCCTCTCTTTCATTTTTTTTTTTTAAGATTTTATTTATTTATTTGACAAAGACACAGTGAGAGAGGGAAGACAAGCAGGGGGAGTGGGAGAGGGAGAAGCAGGCTTCCCATGGAGCAGGGAGCCTGATGCGGGGCTCCATCCCAGGACCCTGGGACCATGACCTGAGCCAAAGGCAGACGCTTAACGACTGAGCCACCCAGGTGCCCCTCTTTCATTTTTTAAAAGAGTTGTATTTTTGAGGGGCACCTGGGTGGCCAAGTCTGCCTTTGCCTCAGGTCATGATCCCAAGGTCCTGGGGTCAAGCCCAGCCGCAGACTGCCTGCTCAGTGGGGAGTCCGCTCTCTCCCTCTGCACCCCCTCCAATGCTCACTCTCTCAAATCTTAAAAAAAAAAGATTTATTTGAGAAAGTGCATGCATGAGAGGGGTAGAGGGAGAGTATTCAAGCAGACTCCCCGCTAGAACCTATGACCCATGAGGTCACGACCAGAGCCAAGAGCTGGATCCTTAACAGACTGAGCAACCCAGGTGCCCCAGCCAAGGAACGTTCTTGGGTGTATGTTGATGCAACACTGGTTGAGATGTGTGTGACAGACTGAGTCAGCCTTTTTGTTGGCATTTGGAGGTTAGATTGAGTGACCTGCTTGGTGAGACAGGGTAAATAAAGTGGGGCTTCCCTGGAGAGAACCATAGGTCGAGATAGCCATTGCAGATGGTGTGGGCAAAGGCCTGGCTTGGCTGCCCCAGCAATCTTGAAGAAACTTGATGTCATCTGCTAAGACTGTAAAGGCATTTACTGCTTGGTGGTAGTTGGGAAGATGTTAGTGAGATTTTGGGAACCGTATGATCGTGTGTGAGTAAAGTGAGAGGGTGATCAGTATGGGGGTGGGGCACTGGTAAGGATGCTCTGCCTGATAGGGTCCTGAAGTTCAGGGAAGGGATGGTGCACTTTGCTGAGGTGCCTGATCTTCCCAACAGGTGTGGTGGCTGGAGGTGGCCGCATTGACAAGCCCATTCTGAAGGCTGGCCGTGCCTACCACAAGTATAAGGCAAAGAGGAATTGCTGGCCACGTGTGCGGGGTGTGGCCATGAACGTAAGTAGCCCAGAAATGGGCAGTTGGGTGTTCAGGGATTGGGGACTGGGAGGCTAGATGGACCAGTCCTTTCCTGGAGTGTCTCCCTTCTATGACAGAAGGTCTGTAGTATGAGGCTCTGGGTTATGGTTTGTTGGCACAGGTCAGTTGATTCTGTTCTTACCCAGGTCCTGAGGTGGGTGGGTCCACGCTCCTATATTAATGCCACCTTGTTCTGTCTGCAGCCTGTGGAGCATCCTTTCGGAGGTGGCAACCACCAGCACATCGGCAAACCTTCTACTATCCGCAGAGATGCCCCTGCTGGCCGCAAAGTGGGTCTTATTGCTGCCCGCCGGACCGGGCGTCTCCGGGGAACCAAGACTGTGCAGGAGAAGGAGAACTAGGGCTGAGGGTCTCAATAAAGTCTGTCCTTTCACTAAGCTGTGCTTGTCCATGGTTTCAGAGGGAAGGATCCTTGCGGGGAGGACTGCCGTGGAGCTTTTGGCGTAGGAAGGAGAAAGATGAAGTTGGATGTGCCAGTGAATAGTGAAAGCTCTGGAGAGAAGGGGGGGGCGCTAGGTATCTTCACACCCTAATTCCTGGAACACCTTCCCCTCCCCAGATACCAGCACAGGGAACAGAGGATCTCGTCTCACATCTGCATTAACTTGAGCACTTGGAGGATCTGGGTGAGGGTGTGAATGCTTCAGGGTGAGAGTGGTGCTCCTGAAGCTACAGGTTGGAGAGCCAGGAAGCTGTTTTGTGGTGGAAGGACCGGGGCGGAGTCAAACTAGTTTCTCAACAAATGGGCTTCCTGTTTTTGTCCATGGTACCTTGTCCCAAACTTGGCCTCATCAAAACTGGTAAAACCAGGGCAGATGCTGCTGAGCCAGTGGGGCATAGAGATGGTAGTGGAGGTTCATTAGTGCCTCAGGACCAGGACACTTTGCTTCCCAGAGGCCACCCAGATTCCCCTGCCCCAGTGGTTCCCCTCATGAGCCAGTGCGAAAGTAGGGGCTAATCACGGAGACAAGAAGGTTGGGGGACTGGGACGCCCGAGTGGCTCCGTTGGTTAAGTGGCTGCCTTGGGCTCAGTTCATGATCCCAGTGTACTGGGATCAAGTCCAGCATCGGGCTCCTTGCTATGCAGGGAATCGGCTTCCTCTGCTTGCCGCTCCCCCTGCTTGTGCTTGCTCTGTCTCTGACAAAAAAAAAGTTGCGGGATAACAGGGTTAAGTGGCTGCCAGAGGTAGAATGCCCGTTCAGACTGCAGGTGGAAAGGCAGTGGACCCAGAGTTCCTGGAGACCCATCTACCTGAGAAGGATTTTCTGTGGCTGCCACGTAGCTCTTTGCTGTCAGGGTCCGCACTTGTCTCTAGTATGAACCTTGCCATTCTGGTTTCCACTTGACCACCCACCACAGCCTAGGTGTGGTGGAGAAGATAGGAGGGGCTGGGCTTGGTTCCCTGGATGAAGATGACCTGCCATTTTTTCACCCTCCTGGATGAAGTGGTCTGGGACCTTGGCCAAGAGGTGGCCATCAGGGAGGGTGTGCTCCAGTAAGCAGGCACCCAAGGAAGCCCAACCCCCTAGAGTGAACCCAGCTCCAGCTGGGGCTGGGTTCAGTGTGCTAAAACAAAGTGACCAGTAAGCGACCTCTTTTCCTGGTCATCACATGGCTTCTCTACCCAACTAAAGGAAAGGGACTGGTACTTTTTTGGCTGCAGTGCCTTTAGCGGCTCACTAGAGCGAGCTTCCCACTGAAAATCAGCCGCTCACCCAGCCTCGGGTCTGTAGCTTCGGGGTTGTGGTTCCAGACTGCCACCTAGTGGCAGCGCACCCGACTTGCGACACTGCATGTCCCATTCTTCAAGGAGGCTGGCTACCGAGACATGAAGTCCTTTCCTAGAGCGGCCCGAGGGTGCCTCCGGTTAGGATGCGGGGTGAGGGCGTCACTTCCGGTCGGTTCCGATTGGCGCGGCGGGTGGGGCTAGCGGGGCCTGACCCAGCGGCGGCTCCTCTGCGGCGCTGAGGTGAGTGTGGGCCGGGCGGGGGAAGTGGTGACCGCGAGGTCTCCCGGGCGCGGGGCACCGGCCCTTCCCTGTAACCGCCGAGATGCTCCGTCCGGGGCCCGCCCCGCGGGCCACAATATTTCTGGCCCTGGCGTCCGTCGGGCGGGCCCCGTTTCCACTCTCGGAGCCCCCTCGAGAAGCCCTGTCCCCGCTTCGTGGTTTCCGATGGGCCCCAAGCCCCGACTGGGGCCCTCCCCAGCCCGGCGTCCGCTGTCCGCCTACTCCGGCCCGGGGTTCTTCCTTGCCGGGCCCCGGCCCCGCCCGAGAGTCTTCCTCCCGCGTCTGAGGACTCGGGGAACCCCGGGGTCTCCCCACCGGATTCTCTTCCCAGGTCGTCCCAAGGGGCTGCTTCTGCGTCCCGGGGTGCCCGGGCCCCTCAGGGCCTGGTGACTCGGGGCCCTTTCCCTTCCCGGCGCCTCTCCGCCCGGCAGACGGTCACCAGCTCTCCAAACTCAGCCCGCGACCGCAGCCCCCAGCCTGAGCCGGGCCTTTCCCTCGCTTCTGGGTCCAGGTTGTACTCCCCACTCTCCCCCAGCCCTCCCCCCGCCCCATTTCCCTCCTCACCTGGTCTCTAGCTTGGAGCAGTTAACGCCTAAACACACTTTCTCGTCAGCTCTTACATCAGTCGTCTTCCCCATTCACCTGCCCCCATCCCGTGCCCCCTGCAGTTTCTGTGCTTCCTCGTGCCTTCAGTAATTCCCAAAATGCCTGTCCCACTGCATGTACCTTCCTGCCTTCCCACCCTTTTTTGCTTCTGATGCTCCAAGGCCTTTCTCCCAGTAGCCAGATTTTTGTTTTTCTTTAGAGCCTTTATTCAAGGTCTGACACTGAAGACTTTTTTTTTTTTAAAGATTTTATTTATTTATTTGAGAGAGAGAGAGAGAATGAGAGATAGAAAGCACGAGAGGGAAGAGGATCAGAGGGAGAAGCAGACTCCCTGCTGAGCAGGAAGCCCGATGTGGGACTCGATCCCGGGACTCCAGGATCATGACCTGAGCCGAAGGCAGTCGCCCAACCAACTGAGCCACCCAGGCGCCCGACACTGAAGACTTTTTAAATAAAAAATGCACCGTGTCTTTGTTTTGAAAATATGTTAAAAAAAAAAAAAAAAGCTTTTAGAGAAAACTTTAAAGTACAGAGAATGGATTGCCAAACACTAGTGACTGGGTTCGCCACATGTATTTAAAGATTGTAGTTAAGGCGCGCCTGGGTGGCTCAGTTGGTTGAGCGTCTGCCTTGGGCTCAGGTCATGATCTCAGCTTCCTGAGATCGCTTCCTAGGTCCGGCTCCCTGCTCAGCTGGGAGCCTGCTTCTCCCTCTCCCTCTGCCCCTTCACCCTGCTCCTGTGTGCTCTCTCTCTAAATAAAACCGTGAAGAAAGAAAGGATTGTAGTTAGAAACAAAACAAAAACAGGGGCGCCTGGGTGGCTCAGTCGGTTGGGCATCTGCCTTTGCTTCAGGTCATGATCCCTGAGTCCCAGGATTGAGCCCTGCGCTGGGCTTCTACCCTGCTTGTCCTCTCTAGCTCTGTCTCTGTCTCTCAAATAAATAAATAAAATCATTAAAAAAACAAAACAAAAACATATATATAATCTCTATGGCCAACGTGGGGCTTGAACTCACCACTCTGAGATGAAGACTCACATGCTCTACTGACTGAACCAGCCAGGCACCCCCCTCAACTTTTTTAAAGAAAGCTGTTGAAGCAGAATTGCTCTTAGATGCAGGCTCACCAGTCCCATTTGCTTCCCTAAGCAACCCTTATTTTGAACAACAGCATTTTTGTTTGTTTATTTTTATTGAGGTGTAATTGATAAACAGAAATTCTATAAATTTTAGGTGTACACTTACGGTATATGCGTTCATTGTAAAATAATCACATTCAATCTAATTGGCATGTTCCTCATCTCACATAGGTACCATTTTCTTTTTTTGTTTTCTTTGTGGTGAGGATATTTAAGATCTACCTTCTTAGGAAATTTCAAAGTTACAATACAGTAATGTTGACTGTAGTCTCAGTGCTATACATTAGATCTCCACAACTTACTCACCTTGCATAGCGGAAAGTTTGTACTCTGACTGACCTCTCTCCATTTTCCCCAACCCTCAAACCTTGGCAGCCAACCATTCCACTCTCTGCTTCTATGATTTGGACTCTCTTGGATACCACATATCAGTGAAATCATGTGGTATTTGTCTTTCTGTGTCTGGTTTATTTCACTTAGCACGATGTCCTCCAGGTTCATCCATGTTGTAGCAAATGGCAAGATCTCGTTCTTTATGGCCGAGTAGTATTCCATTGTGTGTATATACCACATTCTGTATCCATTTATCTATCGTTGGACACTTAGGTTGTTTCCATATCTTGTCTATTGTGAATAATGCTGCAATGAGCATAGGAGTGCTGGTTTGTCTTTGAGGCAGTGATTTCATTTCCTGTGGATAGTATAACCAGAAGTGGGATTACTGGATCATGTCGTAGTTCTGTTTTCAACTTTTTGAGGCACCTCCACACTGTTTTCCACAGTGCATTCCCACCAACAGTGCCCTTTTCTCCACATCCTCGCCAACACTTATCTTTTGCTTTTTGATAATTCTCGTTCTGACAGGCGTGAGGTGATAGCTCATTGTGGTTTTTATTTGCGGTTCTCTAATTAGGTTGAGCACCTTTACATGTACCTTTTGGTCATTTGTATGTGTTTTATGGAGAAATTTAGGTTCTTTGCCCATTTTAAACCCATTGGGTTTTGGGTTTTCGTTTTTTTTTTCTCTTGAGCTGTGTGAGGTCTTTATATATTTTAGATCTGAATTTCTAATCAGATACATGGTTTGCACATATTTTCTCCCATTCCTCAGTTGCTTTTTCACTCTCTTATTTTGCTGTCAGCACATTTTCTTACACCTCTACACACCTACTAGTTTTTAAAATCTACATACATAATATACTATTGATATTTTACACTTAACTGTTTCACTCAGCCTTAAAGCTTTCGCGGCCTCTGACATTGATGTGGTTCATTTCTTCCGACCACTGTGACCTTGACTGTTCCCTGATGATGGATATTGAGGTTGTTTCCCTTTTTTTCTTATACACAGGCACGTGGTAACATTCTGGTGTATTTTCTTGTGTTCATTAGCAAGAGTTTCTGTTGGGCCCATACCTAGAATTAGGTGTCCTGACTGAATTTGCAGGGTTAAAGCTCTGCCAGGTGGTGCCAGGTGGGTTTCCAGAGTGACTATACTAGTTTCCTATAGGACTCTGAGAATCTCTATTTTTCCTTATGTCTTCAACATTTGCTATTGTGAAGCATTTTATGTTTTCCCCAGTCTATGGGGAGAGAGAAGTCTTGAATTTGCATTTCCTTAATTCTTAATGACATTGAAGATCTTTTCAGATTTTTCAAAAAGATTTTACTTATTTGAGAGAGAGAGCACGAGGGGGGCGGCCAGAGGGAGAAGCAGACTCCTCGCTGAGCAGGGAGCCCGATGCAGGACTCAGTCTCAGGACCCTGAGATCATGACCTGAGCCGAAGGCAGACGCTTAACTGACTGAGCCACCCAGGCGCCCCTCTTTGATTTCATTATCTGATTTCCCAAGTCATCCTGTGTTCATTTTTTTAAATAAATGGTCTTTTTTGGTGCACTCTGAAAGATATTTTACATATATTTTTTATGTATTAAGTATGTTTGCAAGTATCGTTCACTCTGCATCTTGTCTTTTAATATTGTGGTGTCTTGTACAGAAATTTTTGGAGTAAAATTAAACAATTTTTCCTTCATGTACTATATTTTGCATACTATTTTCTTATAACAGCTGTAAATTTTAAACACTTAGGTCTTCAATGTGCTTAAAATATATTTTTGTGTGCCATAGAAGGCAGCGATTGAATTTTACTTTCCTATGGAAAATCAGTTGTGTTGGTACCATTTTGAATAGCATGCCATTATGTCATTAACATATACATGGATCTGTTCCTTATTTTCTTTACTGTGCTTAAACCTCACTTTTATTACCATAGCCTTACAGTAAATCTTGATATGTGGTAGGGCATGCCTCTGCCTACCTTATTTCTTTTTTGGCATTGCCTTAGTTAATCTTGGATCATTATTATGATATTGAGTCATTTTGGTCAGATTTCATGTTATGTCCTGTTGTAATTTTGATTGTACAGAATTAATAGATTTATTTGGGGAGAATTGACTTTTTTTTTAAGATTTTATTATTTATTTGCAAGTGAGAGAGAGAGAGAGATTGAGTGCACAAGCAGGGGGAGCAGTAGGCAGAGGGAGAAGCAGGCACCTCGCTGAGCAAGAAGCTGGATGCGGGACTGGATCCCAGGACCCTGGGATCATGACCTGAGCCGAAGGCAGATGCTTAACGACTGAGCCACCCAGGTGTCCCGAGAATTGACATTTTTATGATACTGAGTTCTCCTATTTATGAACACTGTTTCTCCATAAGTCTTCTTGATGTCCTTCAATAAAGTTTTATCATTTTGTCCCCAGGGTCTTGGACTGCACTCTGATAACTGTTGCTGCATGTATGGTATGTAGAATTATGTCCCCTTTTTTGTTCTTAGTATTTCTTTTTCCATCTCTTTTCTGCCCACCCCCCATTGGACTTGCCACATGTTTGTGTGTTTTATTAGCAGTGTTGAGATTATGTTCTGTTTCTTTAAATCAAGTATTCTTTATTTTCCTCCATCTTTTCTTGAATCACTTTTCTTTGTGTCTAATTTCTTATTGAATGTTTAGATCATTTATTTCAGTCTCTCTTGTGCTAAAATAAGGGCACTAAGAAGGCACATTTTTCCTTAGGTAGCCTCTGTTTCCATTTCTCTGTTTTTCTTGGAGGGGGTACTTTGTATTATTTTTTTCTTAAGATTTTATATATTTATTTGAGAGAGCATGCATGAGTGGGGGGAAGGGCAGAGGGAGAGGGAGAAGCAGAATCCTCGCTGAGCAAGGAGCCTGACTTGGGGCTCCATTCCAGGACCCTGAGATCATGACCTGAGCCAAAGGCAGACGCTTCACCGACTGAGCCACCCAGGCTCCCCTGAGGTGGTACTTTTTTTATCACATATTTCCAGAATAACAGCAGTGGTGAGAGAATATTTTGCTTAAATGGTATCAGTCTTTGGAATTTGTTGAAACTTTCATTGTTGCGTCATTTGTGGTATTTTCTTAATAGTTTTGAATATATATCTGGAAAAATGTGTATTCTCTATGTTTCGAGTAACTTTTCTCTACTTGTTCCACTTGTTTCTGAGGGAAGTGTGTTGAAATCTCTCATTCCAGGGGAGGTTTGCCAGTTGCTCTTTGCTACTTCAGTTAGCATTGGCTTTCTACATTTTGAGTTTCTTGGTAGATACACACTTGTCTGTAATTACAGCTTCTGGGTGGATTTTCCTTTTATTAATATGTATTATTCATTTTTGTTCCTATTAATGATTTTTACTTTCTGTTCTGTTTTGATTGGTATAAATACTGCTAAACCACACATAGCAATGCATATTTAAGCTCAGAAGCATCACGATGAAGGGAAAAAGCCAGAGGAGTATAGACAGCATATTTGCTTTGATAAAGTTCACCAGAAGCACAGCTGGTGGAAGTCAGGATGCAGGCTCACCTTTGGGAGTTGAGGAAGGAAGTAGAGCCTGCAGGGGCAGGAGGGCTGATGTGGGTGCTGGTTCTGTGGGTGCAGGCCCTTTGTGACTGCCCCTTGATCTGTGTGGTCAGGATTTGTTGACTCTTCTGCATAAATGTCATATTTCAATAAAGAACGTTAAAGGTAAAGAAAATGTAGGGGCGCCTGGGTGGCTCAGTTGGTTAAGCCTCTGCCTTCAGCTCAAGTCATGATCCTGGGGTCCTGAGATTGAGCCCCACGTCTGGCTCCCTGCTCAGTGGGGAGTCTGCTTCTCTCTCCCTCTGCCCCTCCCCCGGCTCGTGCATGCATGTAGTCTCTCGCTCTGTCTCTTAAATGAATAAATCAAATCTTTAAAAAAAAGAAAAGAAAAGGTATATAGCTACTTTTTATTTTAATTAGCGTTTGTGTGGTCTAGCTTATATTCAGCCTTTCTGTGTTACTTTATTTTAGGTTATGCAGGTGCATTTTGTGTATTTGTCAGAGAATCTTGTGCTTCTAGTAGGTGAGTTTAATCCTTTTATTTCTTACCATTACTCAGCTGCTGAGCTTGTTTCTATAGTGTTGTATATTTTACCATCTATACTTTGACTTTGTTCTGTACCTTCTATTGTTTTTTTGTTTGTTTGTTTGTTTTTTACTTCTTTTTCTCCTCAACACTTAACAAGTTGTCTTTATTCTTTCATATGAAGTGAGTGAGTATCGCCATCTTCCTCCTGAATGAGACAGCTTGGTGTGTCAGGTTGAGGGGAACAGATGACCTGAAGAGTTGGGCACCTGCACCTGCAGTGGGGGCAGGGTAGGGCAGGACAGCCCCAGGCAGGAGCGGAATCTGCCCGGGAGACCAGCTGTGCCCCGATGGGGATGAGTGTGGCCCTGAAGTTGCCCTCAGGAGGGGCCAGGTTGGGCCTCCATGTGTTCCTCTCTCTTCCCTCAGCACCAGTGTGACTCACTGCTGACTCCTCCCCTGGGAAGTCCAGGGTACCAGGTGATGGCGGCTTTGCACCTGTCTGCCCTGCCCCAGGTGAGCATCCATTTTCCCTGAGAGGTCTGAAATCTCCACATAGGGCTTCCCTGCCTGCTCTGCCTTAGTAGACACTGTCAGGCATCTTGGTCTGGGGTATTGAGCAGAGGATGGGTGACCCTGGGACTCCCCCAGCCTTCTGGAGTTACTGGTTTAGTGACCAGGGGCTCAGGCCACTCCCCTGGGCCGTACTGGGGGATCATGCCTTTAGTCACCCCTGTGCTACTTCTGGTATGCTTCTGCTCCCACCCCCAGGGCCCACCCTGAGCCACACCTGGGCCTGCAGCAGCCCCTGTCATTCCAGGCTGAGGTGACCTTTGAGGACGTGGCCGTGCTATTCTCCCGGGAGGAGTGGGGCCGTCTGGGCCCTGCTCAGAGGGGCCTCTACAGGGACGTGATGCTGGAGACCTACAGGAATCTGGTCTCCCTGGGTAAGGCCCCTCACTAGGATGCTGGTCAGGGAACAGCCCTCGGGACTGATGGTTCAGCAGGGGCTGGGCTGGGGGCTTCACCCTCTGGTCCTAGGCAGTCCTGGTCTATACAGAGGAGGGGCCAAGTGGGGCTGGGTCAGTGATTCTCTATCTCTGAGCTCCCAGATAAGATGACCTCCCTGCCCCAGGCCCAAGACAGACCCCTCTCAGGAGGGATTGCGTACCTCCAGGTGGAGAGAGCCCCCTGGGGGCTCTCTTGTTCCCTGTGCTCAGGTCTCATCTTCACGACCATCCCCAACCCTCCAGAGTGTCCAGACTTTGCATCACCCCACTTTGCCTGTGGTTCTGCTTCCCGCCACAGTTCCAGATGAGAATCCACTCAGTGCAGCCCTGCATCCTTGGGACCAACCCTAGGCCCCGTTTTCTTCCCAGGAGCTGGACCTGCAGGTCCCAAGCCTGGGGTGATCACACAGTTGGAGCGAGGGGATGAGCCGTGGGTCCTGGATGCACAGGGCGCCAAGGGGAAAGAGCGACTGAGAGTCAGTATCTCAGGTGCGTGAGGGGGGCCACTTCCCTAACAGTTGCTGAATAAGCATTTGTTAGGGTCCAAGATGTGCAGCTAATGACTCAGGCATTTAGAACAAGGTGTATCAGGGGCAGCATGACAACCCTGGGAGTAGCCTGTGCTGAAGTCCAGGTCACCTCCATCAGCCTAGGTGCCTCAGTGTGGTGATTTTTGAGCTGAATCTTCTAGGAGGCTAAGAGGGGGCGTTGTTGGCAGAGGAAAGGAGGGAAGGCTGGACCCCCAGGACCCCATGGAGCCCTGCCCTTCAGAGCTCATGCCCTGTGAGGAGGGTCAGATGGGGCCATGGTGATAGAGACCATTGCTTCATTCTCCTTTTCTAAATTACCCACTTGACAATTACAGACCGTTACAAGAAAGAATATCTCATCACCCACATACCAGTGTGTTCTGTCGTGTGCCTGCTATCCCCTTTCTAGTGCTCTCTGTTCTACACCCATATACGAAGGTCACTTCTTGACAGGAATGCAGCGATCCTATGTGTACTGCTGTCATCTCATGTCTTTTTTCACTCAGTGAGTGTCCATTTTTATACACGTGAGTCTCAGTCGCCACTTTTGCTGGAAGTGCCAGTGGGAAGGGTGCTGTCTAGTTTCATTGCTGTGGACAACTCTGATAAGTATTATTTTGCACGTCTTAATGTCCTAAGAAGCATCTACTGGCTAAAGGACTTGAATTTCTCTTTTGTAAATTTGTTTATTCAGATACCAATACTTAGTATTGGTATAAATAAACCAATTGGAATAAAATAAACCAAATCCTAAGTTTATAACTCAGTGAATTTTTATAAAAACCATCTTCCAAATCAAAATGCAGAACATTTCTAGTTCCCTGGGAACCCACTAGGCCTCCTCTGTCATTTCCCACTGCTCCTCACAGGGTCCTTCTCTCTGACTTCTGGAGGCCACTCTGCCTCTTAGCTCTGTGTCTGGTCTCATTTGGGGCATCTGAATGTTGTGAGGGCTGCCATGTTGTACAAAGTATGTTCTATTCCATTGCCATACGGTGTTTTATCATATGAATATACCACAAATTATTTTCCATTTTTGTTAATATTTGGTTGTCCACATTTTGGGATTATTGTGACTGTTTCTCTTCCTCACAGAGAATGCATTTCTGGTGGTGTGTTTCTGCAAGTGGAGTTGATGTGTGAATGTTTAGGCAAGAAGTAAGGAATGGAGGCTTGAGGGTATCAGGAGGCATTCTGTATGGCATCTTGAGTTTAAGGGGCTGGTGGCTAACTGGGTTGCCTCTCAGGCCTCTGAGAAAAGCCCAAAGAATGGGTTCAGCTTGCTAGGGAGAGCTGAGGGTCATGGTGTGCCCTTCTGTCCATGGTTGGCACAACGTTGGCCCTCTGCTGTTCTGGGGAGGCAACTGATTTTCCTACCATGGATTTTAGGGTGGATTAGCTGTTGTTAGGTAGCCTTAGGTTCACTTTTTTGTCTGTCAGATGTCCTCCGTGACTTTCAGGGCCCCTCTGGTGGTACAAAACTTCTGTCTTCTTTCCTTTTCTAGTGAGGACTGGAATCCTACAGTCCCACTTAGGCAGAAGGCAGGCAGGAAGAATTGGTCAGGCCTGGGTTGAAATACTTGCACTGCTGCAAGATTGCAGCCTTGGGTGAGGTCTTTAAGCCTCTGAGCTGCAGGCTCTCATCTCTGTAAGGCGTTGTGACTTTGGAGATGATGGAATTGGTACTGTACAGGTAGTCAGCAGCATCTCCACATATTCCTTCTCAGGTCAGAACAGGTGGTCCTAAGATGTTGTGTTCATTGTTCCAGGTCGTGGGACCAGGACTGAGTACAAGGAGTTGTCTTCAGGGGAGATGCTTGATGAGGAAGAACTGGATCAACTCCAGAGGGCTGTTCCCCAGGGACCTGATCCTGGAGAGACCCATGCATGTGTCTGGGAGCCAGAGGAGAGCCTGGACAAGCTTGTGGAGCAGAGAGGCCTGAGGCCAGTCACATTGACCAATGAGGATAGTGTCCAGGGGTCTGGGGGAAGCCTCAGGTTTCGGTCAAGCCCTATCTCTGATCAGAGACCTCACAAATGCGATATATGTGAACAAAGTTTTGAACAGAGATCATACCTTAATAACCATAAGCGAGTACACAGGTCAAAAAAGACAAATACAGTCCATGATTCTGGGGAATTCTTCCCTGCAAATTTAGTTGTTAAAGACGATCAGAAAATTCCTCTTGGGAAAAAATTGCATTATTGTGGTTACTGTGGGAAAGCCTTCAGGTACAGTGCTAACCTTGTCAAACACCAGCGGCTTCATAGTGAAGAGAAGCCCTACAAGTGTGACGAGTGTGGGAAAGCCTTCAGCCAGAGCTGCGAGTTCATCAATCACCGAAGGATGCACTCAGGGGAGATCCCCTACCGATGCGGTGAGTGCGGGAAGACATTCAACCAGAGGCCCAACCTCATGAAACATCAGAGGATTCACACCGGGGAGAAGCCGTATAAGTGTGGTGATTGTGGGAAACACTTCAGCGCCTATTCGTCCCTTATTTATCACCAGAGAATCCACACTGGAGAGAAACCCTATAAGTGCAACGACTGTGGGAAAGCCTTCAGTGACGGCTCAATCCTTATCCGACATCGTCGGACCCACACTGGGGAGAAGCCATTTGAGTGTAAAGAATGTGGCAAAGGCTTTACCCAAAGTTCTAACCTTATCCAACATCAAAGAATTCACACTGGGGAGAAACCCTATAAATGTAATGAATGTGAGAAGGCCTTCATCCAAAAAACCAAACTTGTTGAACATCAGAGAAGCCACACTGGAGAGAAGCCCTATGAATGTAATGACTGTGGCAAAGTCTTCAGCCAGAGCACACACCTTATCCAGCATCAGAGGATCCACACAGGAGAGAAGCCGTACAAGTGCAGTGAGTGTGGGAAAGCCTTCCACAACAGTTCCAGACTCATCCACCACCAAAGGTCGCACCATGGAGAGAAGCCGTACAAATGCAGCGATTGCAAGAAAGCCTTTAGCCAGGGTACTTACCTCATCCAGCACCGGAGGATCCACACTGGAGAGAAGCCCTACAAGTGTAGCAAGTGTGGGAAGGCCTTCCGGCACAGTTCCAACATGTGCCAGCATCAGAGGATTCACCTCCGGGAAGACTTCTCGAGGTGACCGTGGAGAAGGGCCCATGAGTTCCACCGTGCAATTCCTCCTTATGACCCACCCCACCCCTTTATTTATTGTCCACACAGTGTTGTTACGGATGAAGGGCATTTCTAATTAAAAACAAACAAACAAAACTCTTTTCTTAAACCAAAAGTAGTGCATGTTCATTTTGGAGAAATTGAGACAGGTAAGCAAAAAGTAGTTCTCCCCCACTTAGAAAAAGAATCCATCACTGTTGATTTAATATACGCTTCCTTTCACACATAGTTAAGAGCATTTTAAAAAAAGTACTGTGTGCTTGTCATTGCAGGACATAGGATCTTTCGCCTTTGCTATTTCCTCAATCCTAGAAAACACTGGAAAGAATTCTACATATTTACATATCTTTACATGTTGTAAATTTAAAAAATTAACAGTAATACTTTTCTGTGTGTCTTTATAATAGAGTTGATAATTGCCATTTTTATTGTGGTAAAATATACATAAAATTTACTATTTTAACTATTTTTAGGTGTATAGTTCAGTGGCATTAAATACATTTACAGTGTTGTATAACCATCACCACTGTTTTATTATCTGAAACAGAAAATCTGTACCCATTAAAAATAACTCTCCTTTTCCCCTTTGTCTCACATCTGCTGACAATCTCTGTTCTATTTTCTGTCTCTGAATTTGCCTATTCTAGTTTTCTCATAAGTGGAATAATACAATATTTGCCCTTTATAGCTGCCTTATTTCACTTTGCATAATGTTCTCAAGGTTCATCCATTTTGTAGCCTGTATCAGAATGTCATTCTTTTTTATGGCTGAAAGAAATGACCTTGTTTGTAGATACCATGTTTTGTTTATCCACTCATCTGTTGATGGACACTTGGTGTTTCTGCTTTTTGGCTGTTGTGCATACTGCTGCTGTGAGTGGGTGTACAAGTATCTTTTTGGATCCTTTTTTGGGGTGGTGGGAGAGTGCATGAGCAGTGGTTGGGGACCTAGTGGCAGAGGGAGCGGGAGAGAGAATCTTAAGCAGGCTCCACATCCAGCACAGAGTCCAATGTGGGGTTCGATCTCATGACCCCAAGATCATGATCTGAGCTGAAATCAACAGTTGGATGTTTAACTGAGCCACCCAAGCGTCCTGTGGATCCTTACTTTCAATACTTCTGGGTATACTTCTGGGAGTGAAATTGCTGGGTCATATGGTAACTCTATGTTTAACTTTTTGAGGAACAGCCAAACTTCTCCACAGTGGCTGTACCATTTTACATCCCCATCAGCAATGAATAGAGGGTTCTAATTTTCTTGCCAACACTTGTTATTTCCCATTTAAAAAAAAATAATGTCCATTTTAATGGGTGTGAAGTGGTATCTCATTGTGGTTTTGGTTTGCATTTCCCTGATGACCAATGATGTTGAACGGCTTTTCAGGCACTTATTGACCATCTGTATGTCTTCTTCAGAGAAATGTCTGTCCAAGTCCTTTGCGCATTTTTGAATTGGGTTCTTTGTGTGGTTTTTTTTAAAAGTGTTGAGGTATAGGAGTTCTTTGTATATTTTGCATAGTAATCTCCTATCAGATACACGATTTGCAAATATTTGCTCTCATTCCGTGAATTCCTTCTACTCTCTCGTTCATGTCCTTTGATGCACAAAAATTTTTAATTTTTATGAAGTTGAGTTTATCTTTTCTTTTGTTGCCTGTGCTTTGGGTATCATAACCAAGAAATCATTGCTAAATCCAAGCTTAGGAAGATTTGTGCCTGTGTTTTTTTCTGAGTTTTATAGCTTTAGGTCTTAGGTTTTGGTCTTTGATCCATTTTAAGCTAATTTTTATATATTGTATAAGGTAAGGGTCCAACTTCTTTTGCATCCAGTTTTCCCTACAACATTTTTTGAAAAGACTGTTCTCCCCATTGAATAGTATAGGCACACCTCAGAGATACTCTGTGTTCAGTTTCAGACCCACTGTGATAAAGCAGATGTCTCAGTAAAGCGAAATTATGTTTACATTATGGTGTACTAAGTGTGCAATAGCATTATGTCTAAGAAAACTGTATAAACCTTAATTTAAACACTTTTTTTTCTAAAAAATGCTGTCATCTGAGCTTTCAGCAAGTCATAATCACTGATCACAGATTCCCATAACAAATATAATAATGAAAAAATTTGAAGTATTGAGAGAATTACCAAAATGTGACAGACACAAAGTGACTAAAAGCTGTTGGAAAAATAATGCCAATAGACTTGCTCACCATAGGATTACCACACATTTTCAATATGTAAGAAACACAGTAAAGCAAAGCACAATAAAACGAGGTATGCCTGTATTGGCTCAGGCTGCCAAAAAAATACCACAGACCTGGTGGCTTAAAAAACAAATTTATCAAAAGAAACAAATCTCGGGGCGCCTGAGTGGCTCAGTTGGTTAAGCGACTGCCTTCAGCTCAGGTCATGATCCTGGAGTCCCAGGATCGAGTCCCGCATCGGGCTCCCTGCTTGGCAGGGAGTCTGCTTCTCCCTCTGATCCTCCCCCCTCTCATGTGCTCTCTCTCTCTCTCAGATAAACAAAATCTTTAAAAAAAAACACACAAAAGAAACAAATCTCTCATAGTTCTGGAAACTAAGTCCAAGATCAAGATGTAGGCTGATTCAGCCTAAATGAGGGTTCTCTTCGTGGCTTAAATACAGCTGCCTTCTCACTGAGTCTTCACATGGTAGAGTAGAAGATCTCAGATGTCTCTTCCTTTTATAAGGGCACTAGCCCTATCAGATTAGGGCCCCACCTTTACGATCTCATTTAACCTTTATCAACAGTTTACAGGCCCTATCTCCAGTACAGTCACATTGGGTTAGAGCTTCAACATAATGAATGGTGGGGTGTGGGGGGGGCGGGGGGGGACTATAAACAGTTCATAAATGGTCTTGGCACCCTTGCCTAAAATCAATTGACCATATATGTAGGGGTTTCTTTTTGGGTTCTATTCTATTCATGTATATGCCTATCCTTATGTCACCACCATACTGTCACTGTAGTTTTATAGGGAGTTCAGAAATCAGGAAGGGAGTCCTTCAACTCTATATTTGATCAAGATTATTTTGGCTATTTGGGATCCCTATCTGGGATTCCATATGAATTTTAGGTTGGGGTTTTCTGTTTTTGCAAAATCACAGCTTTTGATAGGGATTGCGTTGGATCTATGAATCAGGGTGGTATTGTCATATTAATCCTATTAGGTCTTCATGAGTATGGGATGTATATTCATTTGTTTATATGTTCTTTGATAGTGATCATTTCTGGTTTTCAGTGTACAAGTTCTTTGCCTCCTTGGTTAAATTTATTCCTAAGTATTTTATTTACTGTAATGCTATTGTGAATGCAATTGTTTTCTTAATTTCTTTTTTTTTTTTTTTGGATTGTTTATTTTTAATGCATAGAAATGCAACTAATTCTTATGTCTTGATTTTGTATACTGCTAGTTTGCTGAGTTAGTTTGTTCCTACGCTTTTGTTTTGCTTGTTTTTGTTTTGTTTTTTGGTGTGTGCACTCTTTAGGGTTTCCTCATATAAGATCATGTCATCTGTGAACAGAGATAGTTTTACTTCTTTTCCAACTTGGGTGCCTTGTATTTATTTTCCTTGCCTAATTGCTCTGGCTAGAATTTCTAGTACTTTGTTGAATAGACATAGCAAAAGTGAGCATCCTTTACTTGTTCCTGATCTTAAAGCCCAGTCTTTACCATTATGTATTACATTAGGTTTCTCTATATAATTTTCATTATGCTGAGGAAGTTTCCTTTTATTTCTAGTTTATTGGGTGCTTTTATCAAGAAACCGTGAAGTTGTTTTGTTTTGCTTTGTCTTAAAAGATTTTATTTATTTGTTAGAGAAAAAGGGCACAAGCAGGTGGAGCAACAGGCAGAGGGAGAAGCAGCCTCCCTGCTGAGCAAGGAGCCTGATGCAGGACTCAATCCTAGAACCCTGGGATCATGACCTGACCCCAAGGCAGACGCTTCACCAACTGAGCCATCCAGGTGTCCTAAGAAACCGAAGTTTTGTCAAAAGCTTTTTTTGTATCACTTGAAAAGATCAAATGGGTTTTTTTCTTCATTCTTTGTTGGGAGGTTTTTGATAATTGATATAGTCTTCTTACTAGTTATTAATCTATTCAGATTTTCTCCTTAACGAGTCAGTGGTAGATTGTGTGTTTCTAGGAATTTGTCCATTTCATCAAGGTTATCTAATTTGTTGGCATACAATTCATAGTATTCTCATATAATCCTTTTTATTTCTGTAAGGCTGGTCACAGTGGCCCCACATTCATTTCTGGTTTTTAATAATTTGAATTTTCTCTACTTATTTAGCTAAGTTTGTCTTATTTAACTAAAAGTTTGTCAATATTGTTGATCTTTTCAGTGAGCTAACTTGAAGTTTTGTTGATTTTCTTTATATTTTCTAGCTCATTATTTCAACTCTGATCTTTACTATTAATCTTTTTTCTATTATCTTGTATTTAGATTGCTTTTTTTTCCTGGTTTAGTTTTTCTTTCTCTTTTTTCCTTTTTTTTTTTTTGAGAGAGTGATCGTGTGTGTGCGTTGGTGGAGAGGGACAGAGGGAGAGGGAGAGAGGAATCTTAAGCAGACTCCACACTCAGTGTGGAGCCCAACATGGGGCTTGATCTTACAACCCTGAGATCATGACCTGACCTGAGCCAAAATCAAGAGTTAGATGCTTAACCAACTGAGCCACTCAGGCACTCTTTTCTTTAAAGTATACAGTTAGGTTATTGATTGAGAACTTTTAAAGATTAATTAATTTTCTTAAAGAAGGTTATTGATTAAGAACTTTTAAAGATTAATTAATTTTTTTTAAAGATTTTATTTATTCATTTGAGACACAGAGAGAGATCATGAGCAGGGAGAGAGGCAGAGGCAGAGGGACAAGCAAGCTCCCTACTGAGCCAGGAGCCCGATGTGGGGCTCAATCCCAGGACCCTGGGATCATGACCTGAGCCGAAGGCAGACGCTTAACCATCTGAGCCACCCAGGCGCCCCAATTATTATTTATTTTTATTTTTATTTATTTTTTTTAAAGATTTATTTATTTATTTATTTGAAAGAGAGAGAATGAGAGAGAGAGAGCACATGAGAGGGGGGAGGGTCAGAGGGAGAAGCAGACTCCCCGCCGAACAGGGAGCCCGATACGGGACTCTATCCAGGGACTCCAGGATCATGACCTGAGCTGAAGGCAGTCGCTTAACCAACTGAGCTACCCAGGCGCCCTATTTTTTTTTTAAATAGGCTCCCCATCCAGCATGGAGCCATGTGCGGGAGCTTGAACTCAGGACCCTGAGATCAAGACCTGAGCTGAGATCAAGAGTTGGACACTTAGCTGACTGAGCCACCCAGGTGCCCTGAGAACTTTTTTTTTAATGTATGCTTTTATTTATTATTTTTTAAAGATTTTATTTATTTATTTGAGAGCGAGCAAGAGCGAGAGAGTTCACAGATGGAGAGGAAGAGGGAGAAGCAGACTCGTCGCTGATCAGAGAGCCCAAAGTGGGACTTGATCCTAGGACGTGAGTCGAAGGCAGATGCTTAACTAACTGAGCCACCCAGGCATCCCTATGCTTTTAAAGCTGTAGATTTCCTGAGGCGCCTGAGTGACTCAGTTGTTAAGCGTCTGCCTTCGGCTCAGGTCATGATCCCAGGATCCTGGGATCGAGCCCCACATCGGGCTCCCTGCTCAGTGGGAAGCCTGCTTCTCCCTCTGCCACTCCCTCTGCTTGTGATCCTGCTCTTGCTGTCTCTCTTTGTCAAATAAATAAAATCTTAAATAAAGCTATAGATTTCCTTCTCTGCACTTTTTTCACAACATCCTATAAGCTTTGGTGTGTTGTGTTTTTGCTTTCATTTGTCACTGGGTATTTTCTACATTCCCTTGTAATTTCTTCTTTGGCCCATTTGTTGTTTAAGAGTTTGGCTTAATTTTCCAGTTTTTCTTCTGTAATTGATTTCTAATTTTATTCTATTGTGATTGAAAAGTATAATTTATGATTTTAATTTTTAAAAATATATTACAAGGGGGCGCCTGGGTGGCTCAGATAGTTAAGCGTCTGCCTTCGGCTCAGGTCGTGATCCCAGAGTCCTGGGATCGAGTCCCGCATCAGGCTCCCTGCTCTGCGGGGAGCCTGCTTCTCCCTCTGCCTCTCTCTCTCTCTCTCTCTGACTCTCATGAATAAGTAAATAAAACATTAAAAAATATATATTACAAGGGCACCTGGGTGGCTCAGTTGGTTAAGTGTCTCTCTTTTTAAAAATATTTTATTTATTTGAGAGTGAGAGCATGAGTGGGAGAGGGAGAGGCAGACTCCCCACTGAGCCGGGAACCCTGACGTGGGGCTCTGTCCCAGGACCCTGAGACCATGACCTTTGCTGAAGGCGGATGTTTAACTGACCGAGCCACCCAGGTGCCCCTCTGTCAGCTTTTCTTGATCTGAAATGTCTTAATTTCACTTTCATTCTTGAAGGATAGTTTTGCTGGATATTGAGTTCTTGGTTGACAACTTTTTCCTTTCAAACTTATTTAATACACCATCCCACTACCTTCTGGCTTCCATAGTTTGTGAAGAGAAATCAGCTATTAATCCTGCTGAGGCTCATTTGTGCATGTGGAATTGTTTCTCTGTTGCTGCTTTCAACATTTTCATTGTCTTTGGGTTTTGACACTTTGACTACAATGTGTCTCAGTGTTGATCTCTTTTAGTTTATCCTGTTTGGAGTTCATTGACATTCTTGGACAGGCATATTCATGTCTCCTCAGATTTCATAAGTTCCTAGCCATTATTTCTTCAAATATCTTTTTTGCTCCTTTCTTTCATTTCGTTCTTGTAGTTGTGTAATGTATACGTTAGTACTTTTGATGGTGTTCCATAGGTTTCTTGGATCTGTTCATTGTTTTTCGTTATTTTTTCCCCCTGCTCCTCATACTGGATAATTTCAGTTGTCCTATCTTCAAGTTCATTAATCCTTTCTTCTGCCTGTTCAAATCTGTTGAACTGCTCCAGTGAGTTTTTTTTCATTTCAGTTACTGTACTTCCAGCTCCAGAATTTGTTTGGTTCCTTTTTTATAAGTTTTGTCTCTTTATTAATATTCTCATTTTGTTTATATATCATTTTCTTGATTTCCCTTAGTTTTTTGTCCATGGCTTCCTTTTAGTCATTCAACATATTTAAGGCCATTAATTTAACATCTTTGACTAATAATTTCAGTGTCTGGACTCCTCCAGGAATGGTTTCTTTTTCTTTTTTTTAAAGATTTTATTCATTAATTTGACAGAGAGAGAGAGAGAGAGAGCACAAGCAGGGGGAGCAGGAGAGGGAGAGGGAGAAGCACACTCCCCATTGAGCAGGGAGCCTGATGCGGGACTTGATCCCAGGACCCCAGGATCATGACCTGAGCCACCCAGGCGCCCCTCCAGGAATGGTTTCTGTCAAGTTATTTTTACCCTCTGAATGGGGCATACTTTCCAGTTTCTTTGTATTTTTGTAGTATTTTTTGTTGAGAACCAGATGTTTTGAGCGTTATGTGTGGTGATTCTGGAATTCTAAGTCTCCCACTTCTCAGAGATTGCTGAATCTTACTTGTTGATGGCTGGAGCCACCTGTAACTTTTTCAGTTTCGTAAAGTGTTTATTCTTCAATGTGTGTGGTCCCTGAAGTTTCTGTTCCACTGTGTGGTCATCAAGCATCCTGAAGGAGATTTCATTGTCTCCCAAAAAGGGAAGAAACAAGTATTACGTCTTTAATCCCTCTACCCCACCCCAGAAACTGTTTCATTAGTTAAAACGATGGCAGATAAACCTGTGATAGCTTCACAGTGATCAAAAGTGGCAATAAACCATCAAAACACACAACCCTGGTACTCGGAGGACAACGTCCTTATGTAACCTGGCTCCAGCAAGCCGTACCAGGAATGAAGGCTGCTATCCACATGGCTGCATGCCATGGGGTAAGGGATGAGCATGGTAGGTGCTGTGCTAGACATGGAGGTTCACTGAAATTTGCTGATATTTACTACCTTCTTCATCAAGCTCACTCCTGGAAGTTGCAAGTAAGTGTTTGACTAAACTTTACAGTTCCAGAATAGTTACTTCAGACCGTTCCTGCCAGCCAAATAGCTGTCTAGCTGGAGGGATGGATTCCTGCATGACATTACTCCATGGTAACTGCCTTTATAATAGCAACAAAATTCTATCTAATTGACATACTTTAGTTTATAAAATGTATTTGGACATGTTACTCCCCAGTCACTAAATTTCAGGCCTTATTTTTTTTTTTCAGGTCTTATTCTTTTTATAGAATATAATCTTTTTTTTTTTAAAGATTTTATTCATTTGAGAGAGAGTGAGAGTACAAGCAGGGGAGGGGGAGGGGCAGAGGGAGAAGGGAGAAGCAGGCTCCCTGTTGAGCTGGAAGCCCGACATGGGTCTTGATCCCAGGACCTGGAGATCATGACTTGAGCTGAAGGCAGATGCTCAACCATCTGAGCCACCCAGGTGCCCAGGAGAAGGATAAACTTTTTTTTTTTTAAAGATTTTATTTATTTATTTGACAGAGAGACACAGCGAGAGCAGGAACACAAGCAGAGAGAGTGGGAGAGGGAGAAGCAGGCTTCCCACGGAGCAGGGAGCCCGGTGTGGAACTCGATCCCAGGACCCTGGGATCATGACCTGAGCCGAAGGCAGACAGTTAATGACTGAGCCACTCAGGCGCCCCAACAGGATAAACATTTTAAAGGACACTGATGTATATAAGCAAATGCTTTCCAAGGTGGTTGTAACCAATACGTAATGTCGCCACACTGAATCATTGGAAAACATTTACCTTCCGTGTCAGGATGCAAAGTTGAGTAGAGCACGGTCTGAGTTCCACACAACCTCCCTGTCCCACATACTGTAATTTTCACCTCTGCTTGCTAATTAAATAGGCACGACTGTGGCTGGTATTGCATTTGACTGTCTGATTACTCAGGAAATTTGTATTTCTCTGTGTTGGTTTTAACGAAAACCATCTCTCACATCCTCTGCCCTATCACTGCTAATGGCCCCAATACTTTCTCATTGGGTTTGCTTGTTAAGAACCCGTGCTCTGGGGGTCCCTTCCTCCTCCATGGATGTCCCTTCAGCCAGGGCACCACCAAGAGATTGTGGCCTTGAAGAGAGCCCTGAAGCCCTGGGTGGGAGGGCTAGGGGGTGGTGGGGAGGTGTGGTGGGGCAGTGCAGTCTGAAGAAGCATATTTAATGGAAATACCTGGGAAAAAATATGCTGGTAGTTTTCATTGTGCAAAACTAGAGAACATACGGTTTGACAAGTTTTCTTGGCTGTTTGGTTTTGGCTGAAGAGGGCTGGCACCATCCATTGGTGACACACTCACAGGAGCCAAGTGTCAAGCTCATCTAAGGATGGGAGGGAGAGCATTAAAGGGACTCGTTGCTTCTCAATTGGACAGTCTGGGTGTCTAGTGGGTTAACTGTCCTCTTCCCTCCTCAGCTTACAGGATCAAAAACCTGAGTTGTCAGCCTGCTGATGACAGAGGGTCTTTGGGAGCAATGTCATCTCAGACCACAGGCTGATTGTTAATAATTGTTAATAGCTGTGGGCAGTTACCAGTCAGGAGATGAACTGCTGGTGTCAGAGGATCAGACAGCTGAGGACTCTGGCCTGTTAGGGGAGGCTTGAGTCAGCACCTCCAGGTAAAATAGAGAACAGTTTACCCCAAAGGTAAAGGTCATGCTCACAGTGTGTATGTGTGGTACCCATGCCCACATCTTTGTGGCTGGCCCGATACACACCCTGAAGCAGAGGGACCCAGGCAGAGCATCAGATCTGAGCCAGAGGTCAGAGCTGGATCTGGGTCCTCCCACCGCTGTCCTCAAGGGCTGGGTCAGTCTTCAGGTGCTCCCTGGGGTTAGTGTCCTCTAGGCTGTCCTGGAGTCCCTGCTGGAGGGGCTGTGTGGCCTTTCACGCTGAGGAGGGAGTGAGTCCTTGCTCAGCACCAGCTGTACCCTGCCCTGCCCAGCCTGCTTCCTGCATGGGTTATGTGACTGTGGGCTGAACTTCTCCAAGATCCCTCGGGGGTGGGGAGCATTTCTGTCTTCTTGCGGCAGGTGAGCAGCTCCCCTGGCCTGTTGCTCTGCCTGGCCCCCGGCCTCCCATGATAGCTGCACCTGTTCCGTTGTACTAACTCCCAACACACAGACTACACAGAACTGAGCGCTGGGCTGGTCTTGTAGATTTCATTTCATTTTCATGGCAGCCCCGTGATGTGAATGGTGATATTCTCATCTACAGATCAGAAGCTGAGGCTGAGGAAGGGAGGTGATTGGACTGAGGTCACGGAGCAGTTGGAGGTGGGCCTGGGATCTGACCCACTTTTAACCACTTGTGCAGAAAGGATTAACCTGACCCCAGGGGAGGGATGGCCTTTGTCCTACTTCTGGGTGGCTGGAGTGTCCTGCCTGAGAGTCTTTGTTTACTCAGAGCCAGAGCCAGGGACTCTACAGGAACAGTGTGGTGTACGGGAGGGGCTTTGGCCATGTGACACCTACTCAACCTCTGGAGAGGCTGCAGACTCAGGTGTCATGCAGGTGGCCATCTGTATCAGTGTCATCAAGCCTCAAAAAATTCTGGATACTGAAGCTTGGGCGAGCTTCCCTTGTGGGCAATACTCCAATCACACTGTCACACATCAGAGCCAGGAAAGTAATGTCCATGACTTTACAGAGACCCCGCATTTGGTACTTTTCTGGATTCTGCCCCCAAAGCAATCCCTTGTCTGATTTTATCTGTCTGTTCCCTGTAATATACTGTAACCATGTATCAGGTTTCAAGGCGAGTTCTGAGTCCTTGTAGCAAATTACTGAACTTAAGGGTGATCTTGGGAGTTCCCAAATTTGTGACTGGTGTCAGAGGGGAGGGCAGTCTTGGGAACCCTTATACTTGACCTGCATTTCTCAGCTCAGGAACTTTTATTCTCCAAACACCCAGATGGGGCAGAATAGTGCTGTCCCACCCCCAACCCGGGATTTTCCTCAGCCCTGGAGCAAGCCCGTCTCCCACGAAAGGTCCTCCTGGGCCTTCACCACCAAACCCTCTGCACAGAGTGGCTTTTGGTGGCCAGAGCTTCCCCAGCCTGTCCCCTAGGAGTGCTCCTGTCTCCCTCAGGGCCATCTCTGGACTGCATGGCACCTGCCAAGCTGGGTCCTGCTGTGCAGGTATCTTTCGCCAGAGAAGTGACGGGTCCTGACATGCCCTATACTTGACACAGGTGGATTGTACTGATACCACCAGCAAGGCATGAAAGCACCCATGCCCCTACACCTTCAGAGCTCTGTGTGTTACAGGATACCCTTTACTAATTGATCAGGAGGTGGTATGTTTTTATTTGAAACTGGCACATTTAGCCTTTTCCAGGCTCTCCTCATTGTACTTCCCTTTATTGGGAACTGTCAGCTCATGTCCTCTGGTCGCTGATTTGTTGTAGATCCTTATAGCAAAATCATTCATCTCCCTTCACCCACAAAAAGGTGTTCCAGTCATTCCTTTTTTTATTGGGAAATGTCAGATTATACATAGTACACAGAAATAAAATTCTGGATGTTTTCTAAATTATAGAAAATTTGAGAACTAAGTGTCAAATTCTTGGTAGCAGTAAGGAAAAATAGGATAAAGATTTAAATGCATAAAATGTAAAAACGTCTAAATAAAAATTAAAAAATCCAAAATAAGTGTGGTATATGTTGCTGATCAGTCAGAGATGGGCAGTTAATGGCTGAGAAGGCTATTAACAGGGTGAAGGGACCCCAAAGGTCATTTTGGTGCCTGATGCCACTTCCCAAAAACATAGACTGCCCATATGTTCCGGCAGGTTCTGTGCTACCTCCTGGTCTCTGGAGAGGTAGGTGACAAAAATGCATGGCCCAGGGAGCCTCCCCAGGGAGAAGGGCACTGAAGCTCACCTTTCAGCTCCATGGATACCTGAGCCTGTACACACACCAATGGGTCAATGGCAGCTGATAGGAAGAAAAGGCAGAATGATATTAAGTACACTTCATTTAAGAAGGTTGAAAAGTGAACTATACATTTTGCAGATTTCCCCAAAAACCCTAGATTTGGTGGATTTATCAATCCAGAATGACTTGTACTGTATCACTTACGTTGTCCTGTGATATACTGTCTTTCCAAACAAGTATTTCTGTATATTGTATTTAACTGAACTCTTATTCTCGTCTCAACTGGAACGTGACTATTTCTTATTCTAGCTCTTTCACAGGATTAGGAATTGTGCCCTCAACAGTGGTGAGCTCTGAAGGGCAGTCAAGGAGTCAGACGCCAGCTATAGACTCAGCCAGCAAGGGCTGTTGGCTTCCCTCTGTGGGGATTTTCGAGCTAGCACCTCGCCGGTGCCAGCTGCTCTCTGCAGTAACACTTCTATTGATCTGCAGTTTGGCTCTAGTGATTTCAGCTACTGTCTGCAGTAACATCGGAGGGATTTCAGCTCCTCTGAATCGCACCATGAGCTTGGCTTCTACAGCATCTCCTCAGAGGTTTCAGCCATCTCTGAAGTAATACCTCAGCGAGTTCACCTCCTCTCTAGCATCTACCTTAGTGATCCCAAGTCCTGTTTTTCCTTCAATTGCCTTAGCTCCTGTTGTCCCAGCTGCTCTGCAGTACACATCAGTGATGTCAGTTCCTTTCAGGAGCCCATCTCCTCTGTGCAGTACACCTGCTACCTCAGCTTCCAGAGTTTCACCTGTGATGCTGGCTCCGCTCACCTGTATCACAGAGAGGGGAAAACAAGCTTTTATCTGCATCAGTGTATTGCTGTGGACTTACAGGTCAACACTACAGTCCTTCATTTCTCCCAAGAAGCTGATGTTTTTGAGAGGAAAAAACCTCTTAAAAATTATGAATAAACCAGATTCATTACAGTACATGAAAATGGATACTAGACACTCTTGCAATCAGGAGTAAAAAATAAAAACCTCAAACAGAAATGGGAATTTTAAATAATAAAAAAGCTATTTGAATTTGAGAATTTTAGGTTTTAAGACTATGTACCAAAGAACTGTCTTTTGAGTAATACAGCAGCTATGAGGTCTGGGCTCTGCATGCAGAGCGCCCCTCCAACCCACATGGGGTCTGGAGGCCCAAGGCATCCCATGATTTCTGGGGCACAAGGTCTCTAAGTCATAAGGGTGGGTTTTGAGGCAAAGACCCATTTTTGAGTCGAATTTTCACTGAAAGAGTTAGGACATCCCTTCTGATCCTGAATGAAGTTCAAACACCAGATGAAGTGTTTTCTAAGTTTACATCATTTCTCACTAATTAATCCTTAGATTTTTCCTTTGTTCACACAAAACAAGTGGCTCCACACACTTAGGATTTCTAACCATATTACTTGATGACAATCTTTTTTTATATCATTTTATCCACACAACACTTTAGTGGTCTAACAGAATACTGCAAATAATCCAATTCAAATTTATGTGCAATAATTAGCATAACTGTTTTTAGGAAAGGCATGTCATGTTCTAAGAAAAAACTTTATTTAGAATGTAAGAAATCCTTAAGTCTTAACTTCCTTCAGTTTCTTACTTCAAATAGATGGTCTCATGTTAAGGAATGAATGATGGCTGTCTTTACCAAAATTCACTACAATTGTGTGATTACTGTGCAACAGAACTTCAGGATGTGGGGGTAAACAAAACAGGCATCCTCTGGTTTTTCCACAGGAACATGTGCTTGGGACACTGAATTGCCAGAGAACGGCACCCGGCAGAGTTGCCAGAAGCTTCTCCTGGGTGGGGGCTCCCGGGGGCCAGCAGGGGGTCACAGCTTCCTGTGCACCTTCTGGTGCTGGATCAGGTGCCCGTGCTGATTGAAGGCGCGGCCGCACTCGCCGCACTCGTAGGGCCGCTCGCCCGTGTGGATCCTCTGGTGCTGGATGAGCACCGAGTACTGGCTGAAGGCCTTGCCGCAGCGGCTGCACTCGTAGGGCCGCTCGCCGGTGTGGGTCCGCAGGTGCACGATCAGGGTCGCCTTCAGGCTGAAGGCCTTGCCGCACTGCGCACAGCGGAACGGCCTCTCGCCGGTGTGGATCCTCTCGTGCTGCACCAGGGACCGGCGGGCGCTGAAGGCGTGCCCGCACTCGCCGCACACGTAGGGCTTCTCCCCGGTGTGCACGCGCTGGTGCTGCGTCAGGTGCGAGTGCTGCACGAAGGCCTTTCCGCACGCGTAGCAGCCATACGGCTTCTCCTCCGTGTGGATGCGCTCGTGGTTCATGAGCGTCGAGCGGTGGCTGAAGGCCTTGCCGCACTCGCCGCACTCGTACGGCTTCTCGCCGGTGTGCACGTTGTGGTGCTGGATGAGCACCGAGCGGTCGCTGAAGGCGCGGCCGCACTCGCTGCACGTGTAGGGCTTCTCTCCTGTGTGCACGCGCTGGTGCTGCAGGAGCGTCCTCTTGACGCTGAAGGCGCGGCCGCACTGCGTGCACTCGTGCGGCTTCTCCCCGGTGTGCACGCGCTGGTGGCTGCGCAGAACCGTGCTGTGGTTGAAGGCCTTCCCGCACAGCGGGCACACGTACGGCCGCTCGCCGGTGTGGATCCGTTGGTGCTGGATGAGGTGCGAGAGCTGCGTGAACGCCTTCCGGCACTCCAGACACTCGTGGGGCTTCTCCCCCGTGTGGATCTTATGATGCTGAGCGAGATCCGAGCTCACCCGAAAGGCCTTTCCGCATTCGTTACACTCGTAGGGCTTCTCGCCCGTGTGGATTCTCCTGTGTTTGCTGAGGACGGAGCTCTGGCTGAAGGCCTTCCCACAAACGCCGCACACGTAGGGCTTCTCTCCGGTGTGGGTTCTCTGATGCTGCAGCAGATGGGAGCTCCGGCCAAAGCATTTCCCACACTCGGTGCACCTGTAGGGTCTCTCACCACTGGGAACAGCCTGATGCTGAGGGAGAGGCACACTCTGGCTCAAGACCTGGGCTTCAGGCCCGCCGACGGGACTTGGACTCACACAGAAGCTCTGATCACGTTCATAACGTCTTTGATCAATCCATCCTGTGGATGTTTCCCCCAGAATCACTGATACTTCCTCTGAAATAAATGGCTTCAGACTCAAATCCCTATTTTGGTTCTCTCCCTTGTTTTCATATTCTGAAACAACAAATCCAAAGTAAAAATGTTAACTGCTAACCCACTCAAAACAGCAAAGCAAGTGTAACCAGAGGTAGCCAGCAGGGCTGTGGTCCCTGAATGCACCTGGTTGTGTGAGCTGCAGAGGAGCAGAAAACTCACATCTGTGTCCAGTAACTAGAAACGTGCCCAGGCGGACAGGGCAGTTTGAGAGGCAGGTGTCAACGGACATAAGGCACACAGCAGCTGGTGGCAGCCCATTACTGCCCAAGTCCCACTCTCCCTGGAGTCTTTGTTTTTTAAAATTTTATTTATTCGAGAGAACAAGAGGGGAGAGGGAGAGGCAGACTCCCCACTGAGCAGGGAGCCCGATGTGGGGCTCGATCCCAGGACCCTGAGATCATGACCTGACCTGAGGGCAGATGCTTCACTGACTGAGTCACCCAGGCGTTCCTCTCTGGAATCTTTATGTACAGGGCTTCCAGAGGCCATCATCTAACCCTAAACCCACCCAGGGCTGCAGAGAGCCTTGTTGGGCTGATAGCAACACCTAGTGTGGAGCTGGTAGAAGTGTGAGCTCTTGTGTGCACATCCAACAGACACAGGAAGAGAAGACTTGTATGTGGGGGAGTGTGACCTCCTCTTTGTGGAGAATGCACTGGGAAAAGGAGAGACACAATGGGAGTCTTGCCACATCTAGGCTGGAATGTGGCCTGCAGGGCAGCAGGAAGTATTGCAGAGAAGGCTGGGGTAGATGTTTTTAGTATCAGGTTGGGGACTCTCTGGGCTGTGAGTGCGGGAGGACGGGGTGTGTTGATTACTTTTTTTTGGAGAGCTCTATGGCCAATGTGGGACTTGAACTCATGACCCTGAGATCAAAAGCTGCATGCTCTACCATCTGAGCCATTCAGGCTCTCCAAAGAACAAGTGTTTAGGAGTTCAAGACATTGAGATGACAAGATGCCGGTCAGAAGACCAAGACTTCTCGAGGGGCTTCATCAGGGATGTTGTGAGAGGACGGGCTAGTCTCATGGAGTGATCTTTATCACTGTCACCCAACAGGTGGAGCGGATGCCATATCAGGGCCAGAAGCAAGAGGTTGACTGCATGACAGCAGCCAGGCCTCCTCGTGAACTCTCAAGTGCCCAATCTCAGCGCTGCAGCTTAGGAGGCCAACTCCAAACACCTTGCTGCCACCCCCAGCTTCCCAAAGACCTCTGCCAGGAACAGCATTAAAAACTGTTGCACTTTGACATTCCAGAATTCAAAGCCTTCTAGGCAGAGGAAGATCTGAGAGAATTCTCACACACTCAAGGTCTATGACAGGTAGTGAGGGGTCAGCAGCCCAAGGGGAAATTTACAAATGCTGATCCAGCAATATTGAGATCAGGAGCTAGGATGGCATCCAAATGTGCATGTGCGCATATGTGTTGACTGCTTCTTTGCTCCCCCTTCTCTCCAGGGTAGGTGGAGTAACTTATTTCATTGGTTCATGTGCGTAAGAATTGGGCATTCTCAGCTCAGGGAACCATATTCTGCTCTGCTCCTTCACGTTCAGAGGCAGTCCCCAGCATGGGGGCCTGTGGTGGTCCTTCACTGCCTCAATCAGGTGGCAAGTAGGTCTCATTCTGTGGTTATTAGAAAGCATGCTGAATAGCACCCATTTTCCAACTGTGTTCTATCTAGAATAAGGATACTGTCAAACCCCCCACACCTTGCTGGTAACAGCATTATTGAGAGATAAGCTTCACTCTTTAATTAGTTCCTAACTTGGTCTGGGGAGACAGATGCGATATAATGGGCCACCTGGAACCCCCAACATGGACCCTTGAAAAGTAAGATTCAGAAGCCAAGTAGTCCCGAGGCCCTGGGTGGCTCAGTCGGTAAGCATCTGCCTTCAGCTCAGGTCATGATCCCAGGGTCCTGGGATCGAGCCACATATCAGGCTCCCTGCTCGGCAGGAGCCTGCTTCTCCCTCTCCCACTCTCCCTGCTTGTGTTCCCTCTCTCGCTGTGTCTCTGTCAAATAAATAAAATCTTAAAAAAAAAAAAAAAAAGCCAAGTAGTCCCTCCACAAAGCCAAGGGACCTTCTAAGATGGGACTTCTGACTGGCGTTCGGAGAAAGATTTGGGCCAAGGTGGTCAATAAATAAAATATGCTTGTTTTGATCTGTGTTGCCTTTTGACAGCTAGGTACCTTGGAGGGGCAAAGACATACCAAATGCTCATACTTCTTGCAGAAGTTGGTGGCAGCCAGATGGAAGGAAACCCTCAACAGCTGATCATCTGAGAAGCCGCAGGAGTGGGAAGTGGGAGACTCCCCTGAGTGAGGGGCCTCCTTGTAGAGGGGGAGTCCTGCTCCAGGCTTGAACTGGCTCTTCACACCCACCCTGAGATTCAGCTGCACCCAGACACAGACACTCTGACTCCTCCATCTCCCAGTGCTCTCCAGGCTCAGGTGGGTGCTCTGCTTGCTGCCAGACCTTGCCCTCTAGATGGCCCACCAGCACATCCACGTCAAGAGTCCGAAAGAGAACTTGGCTCTTCCTTCCTCCTAGAATAAGCCCCTACCTCTTGTGGCTGGTGGGCCTTCAGGATCCACGTCTCTTTTTTGATCCCTTATCGTCCTCTTTCCCCACCAGTGTCCAAGCCCTTGTTCCTATTAGACCACCATGTGACAGCTTACCGTTTTAAAAAAATTTTTTTAAAGATTCATTTATTTTTGAGAGAAAGAGGGAGAGAGAGAGAGGCCGAGGGGCAGAGAGTCATAAGCAGACTCCGTGCTGAGTGTAGAGCCTGATGTGGGGCTCGATCCCAAGACTCATGAGATTGTGACCTGAGTTGAAACCAAGAGTCAGATGCTTAACCGACTGCGCCACCCAGGTGCCCTGGGACAGCGTACTGTCCCGTGTCCCTCTGCCCCAGCACTGCCTGCTCATCATGGCACTGGAGAGCTCCTCACCATGACCAACAGAAGCACATAAACCCCAGTCTGACATACAAAGTCGGGGGGATACACTGACCAATTCCATGTCCCTTTTACTGTTAATATCACCATTATTATACATTATGTAAAACAATCTATATTATTATACTACTTATTAATTATGTATTAACTGAATTCCCCCAGGAGGGAGAAAGCTGGAAAGAATATCACTTCCACCCTAACAGCAAGAAAAAGTCAGGTAATCTATAAAATTGTAACTTTCGGGGCATCTGGGTGGCTCAGTCATTAAGCGTCTGCCTTTGGCTCAGGTCATGATCCCAGGGTCCTGGGATCGAGCCCCGCATCAGGCTCCCTCTCCCACTCCCCCTGCTTGTTCCCTCTCTCGCTGTGTCTCTGTCAAATAAATAAAAAAATTATTTATAAAATTGTAACTTTCTTGAATCTATCATAGAGCCAAGGTCATGGTGGCAACCAAACGACCTGAACCCTAAGGAGAAACAGGTGTGTCCTGGGGAGACAACCGCACTGATGATGGAAGGGAGGGAGATAAGAGGAAGATGGAAGACAGGCTACCACCCAAGCAAGGAAGAAGCACCTGGCTAAAACATTAATGATTTCCAAAGAACCCCGGGGAGGTCCAGACACAGGGGCTCATGTCCCCCTGGGAGCAGGTCCAGAAGAAGCCTCTTTTGGTGGCTTAGGCCTACAAGAGGAGAACAAAAGCACCCACATGAACCCTTCTCTACAGAACAAAAGCTGCAAGTCACTGTGCAAGGGAAAGCAAACTTCTCATTCTAAGGCACAGATAAAAATCCCAATGGCTGGGAAGGGAAAAGAAAACTATCTTCTACTCCTGAGGGAGAGGCAGGAAATGATCATAAGCCCAGCAGTGAGAAGTCTGCTTCACCCAGGGGAAGGGCTTTGACCCAGGAATACAAACCTGCCTAAAACTGAGGATGGACGAGGACAGTGGAACATTCTCTCATTTCTCCCTGCCCCTGCCCCAAAGGCCAGCAAGCCCTGAGTAACCAGCAACTGCCTACTACTGCTTGGGTGGGGTCAAGAGTATAGGAGAAAACCCTCTCCTGTAGGCAAACCTGGAAGACTGAGTCCTCACCCTACGCACAAGGAAGTGCCACAGGCATGGGAACCTAGTGGTGCACTGAAGGCAATTCTGGGAACAACAGAGCCCAGCCCATCTCCTGACTAGATTGACTCAGGCTTTCATACTATCAGCCTATTAGGACAGGTTACATTTCCAGACAGATATACTATCTACCTCTATCTCTACTGTCCCAATTAATGATAGCTGACATTCAATAAAAAATTATGAGACACCCAAGAGAAAGAAGACTGCGTGTGTGTGTGTACATGTACACACACATAGTCAAGAGCCTAAGTGATCAACAGAACTAGAATTAGAGATGACCCATATGCTGGAACAATGTGAATGATCAGATGGGGAATTTAAGCAGAGAGATACTGTAAGAGTCCAAATGGAAATGCTAGATGTAAAAAACACAGCAACACAAGAATGCCTCTAATGTGCTCATCAGTGGACCCAACCCAGCTAAGACCAGTGAGCTTAAAAACAGGTCAACAGAAATTACCCAAAAAAACCCACAACGACAGGGTGGCTCAGATGGTTAAGCATCTGCCTTTGGCTCAGGTCATGATCCCAGGGTCCTGGGATCAAGCCCCATGTTGGGCTCCCTGCTCAGTGGGGAGTCTGCTTCTCCCTCTGCCTGCTGCTCCCCCGGCTTGTGCTTGCTCTCTCTCAAATAAATAAGTAAATCTTTAAAAAAGAAAAAAAGAAAAGAAAGAAAGAGAGACAGAAATGTATGAAACAAAAAATAAAACCAGTATGGGTCAATATCAAATGGCCTAACCTGCAAGTAGTTGGAATTGCAGAAGAGAAAGAGAACAGGAAGCAAAAATATCTGAAAAGATAATGGCTGAGATTTTTCTAAAAATAATGGAAGACATCAAAAGATCCAAGATATCAGAATCACAAACATGTTATTTTAAAATACCACTTAGATACATCATATTCAAACTGCTAAAAACCAAAGAGA